ACGGTCCCTCCCGCCCGCGGCGGCGAAGCGGTGCTTCAGTGTTGTCCTCAGGGGAGCAGGTGTAAGGTCAGCCCTTGCCGTTTGGGCCTCGTAGGGTAGCTGAAGCAATCCGAGGAGCAGTTGCTGCCACAGGCGGCACAGCCAGGGGATGTATCCAGCGTTTTATTTACGTTTTAGGTCTCTGAAGAATGGAATGATTTTATTATGCGTTTCTGCAGGGACGTATTTACAGTGTCCCCGTTCCACTTGTAGTGAGTGCTTCCTTTTTAAAGTAGAAGGGATCCAGAGGAAGGCAGTGAATAAGATGAATGGTGGATGAATGGAAAGGATTACGTACAAGAAGATGATGAAAATTTTAATCTTGCTTACAGACAAGGTTCATTGGAGAGGACAGATTTGTTTAAAATAGTAGGTCAGATGGAGAATATGGATGGCACACTCAGATTTTCTCCCACTGCTAAAGCCTAATTGAATTGAATGGCAATAATAAAGGATGCAAGGGAACGCTTGCTTTTTTGAAGCCCATAAATTACTAGCTTTCAAAGAGCTGTATATCACATGTGTAACGGGGACATATCTATATGTGTGAATTTCTTTTTTCTAATGGTGTCATGTATATCATTCTTCAGTGTGGCTGGTAGCCGCTAGAGTTAGAGAACGCTTGTTGTACCGCGGTCGCCGGTTCATTCCCATTGGCGTACTAGTGCACGTGGATTTCCTCTCTTCTTCAGGGCTGACTGACAAAACTGACAAATATAATGTTGGCATTTCCAGTACGCCCAAAGTGCTTCCTAAAATTCTCCTACTTACGAAGGGGTCGTACATACATCAGGAATCCAAGCCCTCCATTCTTTGTTTTATCCTGCTGTATTCTCAGCCCACTGTTACTCTCATTCAGTGTCAAATCACATTTGAGAAAACCCTTCCTTGACATTTCCGTGCTAAAGAGTTGCTGTCTGTTAGTGGCTTTTTGCCCTCGTTTGACAAAAAGGGCCGTTTCGAAGACCGTCTGTTCACTTTGCTCCTCGGTTTCCAACACCACAGCAGAAAGGTGGGAAATCATAGAGCAATTTCTGGCAGGTGACAGGCCGTCTTCTTTCTTTTGTTTTTCCTCCCCCCCC